TAGGCTTAATACTCTGATTCTGGCCAATCGGATTTGGAGTTTCTTGGTTTCGAAACACATTATTTTTAAAGAAGATGATATGATAAGGGAGCATAAAAATCGTTCGCTGAGCCAGTACACTTCTGTTTAAAGAAAAGGGGGAAGACTTCGTCTTGGCAAAACAAGTAGAAGAAATCCAAAAAAAATTCTACTGGGACAATGTGCCACGGCTACATAGAGTGCTGCATAGTGTTTATAAGACCATACAGTACGTGGTAAAATGAAGTTTTCGACGTAAGCACTGTGAATAAAATCAATCTAGTACTCCCTATGTATTTAGGTTTTGAATATTTGGAAAGAGGAGATATCAGAGCAGGCGTCTACAAATATAAAAGAGAGTTCTATTGAGAAATGTGCTATTAGATTTACATTTGACTGAAATAGTACAAAGAGAGACGGCGAAAAAATAATTTATCATTGTGAAAAACCAGGTTATCTTAAACGATTTTTATGCTCCAGCGATCCAGAATTATAAATTAGAAAATGTGCGAGATTTAGGAGCGGTTTTTTTTTTATTCAAATGGCAACGTCTGGATGTCTGGATTTAAAAATATAATCCCACAACATTTCTAAGTCTGCACCACATATTTTTATATATTGAGCGTATACATAGTCTGCTTTTTCGCTTAAGGCAATGCCACACGATTTCGGCATTTGTACAGATTTGTACATTTTTTTTATTGTACTATTAGTACAAAATAAAAAAAACGACAGTTATTTTCGTAGTCACACGATCGGTACAATATAGTGAACTTGTATTGAAAAATTTGTGCATTTACGCGATTGGGATACGATTTGCACCAAATTTCGGACAAATGCCCAATCGTGGGACACTGCCTTTACAGTCGACTTTAAGGTTATATTTAGTACCGGTATTTTGTTGCATTTTTATTTACCCAACTGTATCCCTGTGCAAGCTCCACTTCGCTGTCTGCAAATGCTGTCTGTGCCTGCCATTGCATTTGCCACAATTTCGTTACAGACTCACAAAAACTTATTTAAGTATAAGCAGGATATGTACTACTTTTCATACGATTCTGTGTGCATTTGTAAATGTCTTTGCGTATAAGTAAGCGTATGTACCATATGTACACATGTACATATGTCAGAATTTTCACTCACCTGCTTGCACCTGTACATTCCGGCTCAGCACAGTGCCAGCTTCGTTGGCAGCCCGACAGCGATACGCCGCCTCATGCACATCTGTGCGATAGTATTGCGCCAAAAACGGTGGGAAATACAATGTGCCATTGCCAGTAATTTTCCTGCAAGATAAAACAACAAAAATAACAACAAACTCAAATCAAATTTAAAATGTAGTAAAATGTTCATGCATAGTTTTTTTGCATTTTAGTAAGTAAATATTACAAATTGTAAGTACATTAGACCGTACCACCTTACAAGCAAACAAAAAAAAAGTTCGCCGTATACCGCGGAGTCTAAAGTATTTTAGCAAAGACATTTGAATAGAATAATCGAAATATTTACTTAGAAAAGTTTTACGATTTTTGGAGAGCTTTAATCTACTGGCATTAGGGGGGTACGTTAGGGAGATATGAAATGAGATATGGTGGGCTTAAGGTCAATGAATTTTGGTACACAAAAATTACATACTCGCGGTAAGAACAGTACATGCCGACGATATGGCGACAAATGTAATAAGGCGACCTCGCAACGCCTACGTTCTGCCGAAAAAAATCTGTTTTCGAAATTGCCTTGCAAAAATACTTTAGACTCAGGGATGTGCCGCGAACTTTTTTGCTCTGCTCTGGTATAATGTACTCGTACATATACGAACATGCGGTAATGCACATAAAAGTGGCAAAGACAAGCGCCAGGAAATATTCTCATTATCGTTGTAAACACTTGAGCGGATGTAAATACATTAGTATGTATAGTCATTTAAATATATTTTTAAATATGCAGAGTTAAGCAGTACAAATACATAAATCGTAATGCATAAAAATGGGGAATATTATCATATAGGCAATAATATTAAATATCATAAGCTAAACCATTTCAAGTTATAGTTTGGCCGCCATTATCATTAAGTAGAATAGTGAAGTAAAAAAACTTAGTATTTGGTGCTCAAACAAAAAAATATAAATATGGTAATACGGCGCGCATCAAAGTAAACCTGCAACACTCCAAGGCTGCTTTAGTTGCTGTGACACAAAATATTTGCATGGATCGCCTTGGCATTGCATTTATGCAAGAGCCTTAAATGAGTGTATGAAAACCAGGTAAAGAGACTTTCGGGTAAGCTACTCTTTGACGCCTTCAACGCTTATCAAATGACAGCTAGCCAGAGTTTGGGATCTATATTTCGGAGATAACCTCTGATCAGCGTACTTCGAGATTTCGAATTTTTGGCCCGAAACATTAGGGGTATTCTCGAAATCTCGCAAAGCCGTTGCAAACACACAACAAAATACATGGGAAGCAGCTAAAAATGTTAATCCCGGGTTCCCGGCCTTTTAAGGTCCCAAAATACCAGGATTCTTTCGGGATTTACAATTTGCACTGATGGCAATAATAGAAACTCCTTTTCTTGAACATTATTGGCTATATTTATTTTTTTATTTAATAATTAATATTTTTTTATAAATTTTGTTTCACATTATACATTTAATACCGCGCGATAGTAAATTTGAAACACAAATATCAATATATTCGCGAAACCATGGGCCAAATATAGTAAAATTGCGTTTTTATTTTTTCACTCTGACGTCAGTAATTCAAAAATGATTTTAAAAATTCAGAGAAATGTGCTTAGAGCAGAAGTATGGGAAAAACTGTCGAAAATTTTACCCAAAAGTAAAGTATCTGCTAACTTCTGTAAGAAAATGCACGGCGACCAGTAACCGATGTAAGACCACAAAAAAAAACAAAATATTTTCGCAAATATTTTCTTTCATTATATTTAAATAGAATAACAGCCGTGATATTTCAAATTAAAGAACCATTTCACGCTTAATCGGATTTAGATTAAGTATTTATTTAATTGAAAGCACGACATCGAAATCAACTGAATTCAAAGAGTGACCGAATTCTCTGTAAACAGTTAGTTAAATTGCGTTGCAAATTTTTTAAACTCACAATTTATATGCATGATTTTCCATATATGCAAGCATTTAAACTTGCGAACGTTTGTAGTAGCAAGCGTTTTTCTTTTTTCGCTGCTAGCTTTTGGATTAAATTATTAGTGAAATGAATAACGAATTACATGGAAAACATCAAACGTCAACCACATTTTTTTTTTTTAATTTTTCCAACGCGTTGCGCTTTCCACAAATTACGATCACTCTACGCGAATGGCTATGCATTTCGAAACTAAAAATGTGCAAACAATTGAACGTACATTTGTATGTGTATACATTAGGGTGCCTAATTTTTTTCACTCCTACCTCGAAATGTTGTGGAAAACACCTAAAAAAACTCCTTGAAAATTGCAACCCTTAATATTAACATTTAGTCTGTTCCTTTGAACTTCGGACTAAAACCTGTGGAACTGTCAAACTACAATTTTACTCTCTCAAATGAGAGTAAAAGGAGAACAGATGCAGAAGTGCATAGGAACGCAAAAAGCACTATTTCCTGTAAAAACGTCAGTCGGTTTGTTTACATGTCATTTGTACAACACTGATTTAGCTGAAATATCACTAAATAATTATTAAAATCGATACATATTCAAACATTTCGTTGTTTACTTCCATTTTTTTTACAAATGTAAGGTACTTTGCTTTCACCGCTGTTTGTTTTTGCTTGCACATGCAAATCAGCTGATCGTTTGACACTTTTCATGAACTTACAGGAAAAGAAACTCCGGACTAAATACTGTAACTTCTGACTAGGAACAGTTGCTCAGTTACTCTCTCAAATGTGTTCCCACTTACAGGTTTTATGTCAATAGGAACGACTTCCTGTAAGTTCTGACTAAATCCTGTAAACCGGACTGCTATTGGAACAGACTAATTAAGTACTCGCCCAAGGTGTGCAAAGATTTACCATATAAAATATACGTAAGCTTTGAGCTTTTTTTTCTTCAAAAGTCTGCAGCTAAATGCTGTACAAAAGTACTCGTTGTGGTGTAATTCTAACCCCCACCAGCGAGGTAGTACAGCTCACTAAGCACAATTTTTTTCATGAAATTCTCGGTCTTTTACCCCTATCTCGAAAATAACAAGAGCTACAGAGCGAGTATTTAGTGTTAATATTAAGGGTTCAAATTTTCAGGTAGGAGTGAAAAAAAACAATAGAGCAAAAAAACACCCTAGTACACTTATTTATGAATTGTGGCGTATCAATTTGTATTTTTAAATATGGCTAGCTTGGGGTGAAAAGTTACCCTACACCAACCTAAATTTACCTTACCTCAACCCACTCCACCTCACCCAAATACGGCGCATCTCACCTAATTCACGTTACCTAAATTCACTTCAACTCATATTTTGTTTAATAGCAAAAACTGATTTTGGCGAAGTTTATTGTTCAATAAATGACTATAAGTGACCATCAAGGCAAGGCGCACGAATGGTATTTTTAAAGGGATAGTAGCCGAGAGTTCTAGCTTTAATTTGAGCCCAAGTGGAAGGTTCTATCCCCTTTTATTTTTTTTTGCTAAGGCTTCTCAAATATTGCGAAAACTTTTGATACTTTGACAACGTTTTTTTTTTACAGATTCGTAATCAGCACAAAGAAGTCTATCAAAAACAGCTTTAACATTTTAGGAAACCAAATTTTTTCCAATTTTTGTTGACCTCTGTAATATCTGAATTAGTAAAAGTTACTATAGAAAAAAGGCGCCTAACGGATTTTGCTCTTTTTTTTGTTTTGGAAAATGTTCAGTGAGGTCCCCCGAAATAGTAGCAACAGGAATCGACGAAGGGAAACAACTAGAGGCTTGAAACTGTTTCCAGGGTACCGTGATATATGTCATCATAAGTGGGCGGTGCCACGCCCATTTTCCAAAATTTTATCATCAACGTATTTCTTGGTAAAGAATTGTTACAAGCATCAATTTTGTATAAATTAGCTTAAATATTTACTGATTTATCGAAGATTTTGTATTTCTCTAAATAACCGTTATATGGGATGTGGGCGTAGTTATTATCCGATTTTAAAAATGTTCGGCCATTTCGTATATTATACCAATCGACATATATATCGACAGCACCCATTGAGTTAAGATTGGACTTACTCTGTGTAAAGCGTGCTGTCAAAAGGGCTATGCTTTTGGACTCCAAAGCCTTCACCATTTTTTAAGTAAGACTATGACTGGCAGCATCTGTAGGTTTTCGTGGTTTATAAGCAAATGAGTTGCTGTTCAGAGACTTATCTCTTAGGTTGACTGCTCATTTTTGGAAGGAGGAACTGATTCTGATCGGTCGGTAAAACGAAGGTGGTGGTTCGGACTTCCCAGCTCTCGCTAAGCCCTCGTCTCTGTAAGATTTTGCGAGGACTAGGGATATATTATGGTTTTCGTTTTCGTTTAAGAAAACAAGGGTGAATCACATAAAGTTCTGGCGATTTGTATGGAATAAAGGTGGTTCTAGCGCCCTTTGCACTCTTTCTACAGTGGCAAGTTTGGTTGTGAGGCTTTATTCTCTTCAAGATGTAAGTGCTGTTACACCCAATTCTGTTGATATATGTATGAATATATATAAATATGTATTTCATAGCTGAAAATATCAGTTAAAACATCAAATTTCGAAGGCAGAAGACCTTAAAAGTTTATTAAAAATTACCTCCTTTACTGTTTAGTAATCTCCATAACTCCGGAAAGAAATGTTTTCCCGTTCAAATTATTTCGGTTATTTTCTATGTTATTTTTAGTGCCTACATACATACTCACATTTTGGCTTAATTGTTTTATTTATTGCCAGCTTTTGATGGCGCAAACTAGTTTGTAAGCTTAAAATAATGCGCTGCAGTCGCTTTATTATCTCTTTAAAATTTTACAATCTATCAGCTTTTGATTGCAATTTTGCAGCTTAGCTGTTTTGGACAGTTGATATAGGTACATATACACATGCATACTCGTACAAGAAAATAATTTTTAGAAAATGACTTTCAAAGCTATTCAAAGTGAGTTCAGTGAATAATTTTTACTTTGAAATATTAATTCCACTAAGTTTTATAAAACTATATGATAAAAAAAAATGTTTTGAAAATGCATACAAATATTCACTAAATTACAAGCTATCACGATGTATATAAATAATTTGTGGACTGGAACTGAGTGTGGGTGGGTTGGCTCAATTAT